GCAAAATATATTTCTATCTTGTCAAGGGAAAGTCAGTCTAGTTCATACTGGCTTTTATTTCATAGGAAATATAAACAATAACTGAAAGCTTATTTTTGTAACTTATGATCATTTTGTCTCCATGTAGCCCCTTCATAATCATGAAATTCTGTGCAATATATGGTTTCATGTCTTCTTCTTTTTCAGTGTCCTATAGATCACTGATTTCTTTGTCTGGGTACCAAGGGGGCAGGATTGAAGCCCCACAATCAGAACAAAATGATTTCATGAGTTTTTCCTCTTTTTTTAAAGAAGTAGGTCACAAAGAGTTGAAGGCACGATATTACAATTTGGTGAGTGCCAAAACTATTTCACTATGCAGCGAGCTCACAGAATTGAATCTTTCATGCTAACAACAACAATGATTTATATTTAGAAATTCATTAAAGAGTCAGCATATAGTTTGCCACTTAGTGTGGTGGAGCACTATACTAGACAGAGTCGTGGCAACTGTGCTTCACCTGTCACCTCTATTTGTTGTAGATACTGACTTTTCTTTGGATTGACGGTCTTATGAACTATTCTAGAATTTCCCTTTTTCCTACACACATAGGTTGAGACAAGCAAATCTTAACACTTGTTTGTTAACAGAAGATCTTAACAAACATAAATGCTCTTACTGGGCCTCCAAACTGTTTAAAACAGAAATATTCCAAACCATATTATTAGACAATAGACTTAGATTTTTGTCATCCTTAATATTACTTTAGGCAAATCACTTAGTATTTTAATACCTCAAATTTTAGTTCGGAGGATGACAAGATGATACAAATAAGCTTGAAACATCTTTTTTAAATGTCCATATGAAAGATATAACAAATGCCATGCTATCACATTACCCTCTAGCCTTTTAGAATGATTATATCATTTGATTAGTTCAGTTCCTTTACTACTGAATGTGTATATAGGAAATGTACATTTTTAAGCAGCTATCAGGAGGAAATTTACCATTTTGATATTTTCAAATATTATCAGTGAAGTTAATTCACCATTTTGTCAGCATCTTCCTACTGATATCTTTTAAAGTATTCTACCGAGTGTCTTAACTATCAGTGAAACCCACAGCCAGCTATTGTTTCAGAAAAGTGCACTTCATCCTGCTCTTTCCAAAAAGCCAATAGGAGGGTTCTGGCACCAAATGGCTGTTGAATCTCTTCCAGGTCTCCTGCAAATTTCCTTGCAGACTGAGCAAGTGTGTGACCTCAATCTCTCCTTTGTCTGTTTTGTCTGCTTTTCACTTAGCTCTTTAAATTCCAACACAGTCAGTAGTTAACCTACATCAAGACCCCAAATTTTGTTCTAGATGAGGAGCTGTACAAATATAGACACACAAACTGGTGGCAGCGGCTTCTGTGGATAATATGTGGATGATTAAGAGCTCCTGTGATTTTATTTGGCCTGATTCTTAGACCCTCCACATGCAAAAGTCTTTTTCATATCTAAATGCTCTTGTGCACAGGGGAGGTAGGCTGCAGGGAGCGGTCAAACAGAAGGAAAGTGCTTTTAAATAAGAATATTTGCAATTTTAAAAAGAAATTATCCAATAAAATGCTGTTTTTAAAAAAAGGTTCCCCCACTAGTTACGGAAAGTTCATTTATGTCACTATGCTTGTTTGTGTAGATGTATTCATAAACAAATAAATGTGTTCAAATATGTATTTATAAGTTTTTGAAAGTGGAAAAGCCCAGGATATTGCATGTGCTCTTCTAGGTTTACGGCACAGATGCCCCACAAGGCATCTGCAATGACATCCACAAAAATCTAAATGGCATGTGGCTGTATTTTTTTCTTCTTCAAATATGCCAAGGTCAGAGTTGAAGAAGCTTTACTACAGTTGCAACATCATGGTTATTTAAAGAAGCTACACTCTGAAGAATGAAGGCTGTCCTTCCACATCTGGAGATAGGATGGAACCCATGAATTTGGCAGTCTCAAGGAATGCCATTCCTGGAGAGCACCCACCAGCTGCCTAAGGCAAGAGGCTACACCCTTCCTGAGGCTGCATGTCCTGAGGGCAGAATTCTGTCAGGGTCCTAGGGAGTAAGTACTTCTTTACCTCACCCTGTAGAACATTGGTACAGGGCTTCAGTGTGTGAGCAAGGACACCAGGACTGGCATGAGCCTGGGAGCCATATCAATTTCAGAGGTGAAAACCCACTCATAAGATGCAAGCTCTGCACATCTCTGTGTGCATAATCAAGTCTGTCCTGCCAAGCACAAATTCCTCAGAACTGTTTCCTCTAGCTCACCTTTGGGGCCATTTGCCTTACTCCTGCTTTTTTACAGTGTCACACTAAATGGCTTTCCTTTTACTCCTAAACTGTGGTTTTTATTTAAAAAAAAAAAAAAAAGAAAGAAAGAAAAGCTGAGAAATTACAGCTGGGAAAGACTACTGCCTTTCTAGCCTCCGCAGGAGTGCTCCCCATAGAGTATCTCCTTTAGTTCTTGAGACAAATCACACTGTATCAGTGTTCTGGTTAAAAGTCAGCCTTCACTCACTGCTGTGCCAACACTTGGCTCACACCTGCCCGCCTGACCACTTAGGAATGTGTAGGGACATGCTGCAACCAACCTGGTAACCTTGACTGAGCGGCAAAGATGATCCTGACCCTCTTCTGAGGACCTGGAGCCTTAAGCAACAGGGCAGAGTCTACGTGACTAAAACACACCAACTTCCTCTTTCATAAGTCATCACATGATGAGCTACAATTACAATTCTTGCCTTGTCTCTGCGAATTGCAGACGCATTGCCTCACCCTGGAAACCATGCTCCTGTGTGGAGGAGGCGGCTCTAACTGCTGCAGCAGTGGCTCTGGCTAGAATCCAACTCCAGTCTGTGCTGAGAGGGAGGGCAGTGGGTGGGAGACAAAAACAAAGCTATGTTTACTTAGCATACATCGATAAAGCTGCTTCAGAGCTACATGAAAGGCCAGGCAGCATGAAAGACTTTGATACAATATAAGGAATTGCTGCTCTAGATCCTAGGTCTGCCTTAACCCCCTGGGTCCTGGATCTTTTTATGATAAATGAGCTCAGGGCTAAAACTGCCTTTTCTCTTTCCAACAGGCTTTTCAGGAGGGAAGTGCCAACAGTCAGTTTCGACATGAGGCTGGCAATGTGAAGTAAAAAGGAAATGATCTTTTGGAGAAACAAACCTCTGTTCTACAAAGATCCTTACTTAGCGTCTCTCGGAGTACACACTGTCTCTCAAAATTCTATTTTCGGATGAAGTGGCATACTCTCCCTTGAGGGCATCCAGTACCGCCCCCACCCCCCGCCCCGTAAATGAGTATAATTAGGCCACAGATCTCATGGTGAGTTGTATTTTCTTTTAACATGTTCCAGTTCTCACTTAGTGGGGCCATCTCTCAGAGGCACTGAACTGGCTCGTCCTTCTGCAGCAAAAAGACTGGTCAGCTTCACCCCCTTTTGCCCAGTGGCCAGAGTAAAGTCATGTGCTGGAATGAATGGCACAGGGCCTCAGAGGGGAGTGACTAGAAGCACGGGTCCTGGAGGAGGGGCCAGGAGTGCCCAAACCCGTTGGCACCAGCTGCTGGTAGGCCTATTTCCCCTATTTGGGGGAGGGTGAGGCAGAATTGCAATTGCAGGACAAGGTTGGGGACAGATGGGGAGGCCCTGGCAGCAGGTGTACCCTCTCTGGAAACTCCCGGAAAACACTCAAAGTTGGCCTGTGAACACAAACACTCAAGCCCTGCGTTACTTTCCTGTGCCTTTTTCGAATAGCTTTTCTCGTGTGCTCTAAGCAGCTTCCTCCACTGTTTACAGGCGTGTTTCCTCTTGTGGTTAATCCTTTGAAGCAACCTGGCATTTTCAATAGCAGCAACTGGAGAGAAACGTCAGGATATTTTTTTCGCTCTCCACCTACCAATCCAGTTGCAGTAATGATAATATAATTAGTATCCTGTTCTTCCCACACTTAACCAACTCAAATCAGTCTAAGGGAGAGGAGTGGGCCTGTGTTCCCAACAAAAGCAACTCCAGAGCTTAGCTACGGGGCGGAAATGTGTGCGTCCATCTGAGAGCAACCAGCCCGGGCGAGGCGACAGACCAGCACCCGCAGCTTCTCCCGCGGATTAAAGAGGGCATGTAGGTGCTTACTCCGGTCTGAGCAGTCTGCGGTATCCGCAGCGGACCGGCCTGCGCCCATCAGGCTAACCTAGGTCAAGCAACACAGGGCCCACGCCGACAGTGGGGCGACCACACACGCGTTCCGGATCGCGGAAATCGCCAAGTCTCGGGTCGGCTAATCCAAATTCTGCTGGGGACGGAGCGGGGCCTGCAGACGGGACTAAGGGGCGGGGCCTGCGCCGTGACGCCACGCCGCTGCAAAGCCCGGATCTCCAGAATGTGTGCAGCCCAGGCCCCGCGGCGTCAGGCACGTCGGTCTAGAGCGTGCGCACTAGTGCCGTCCCCCAAGCCCACGTCACCCGCCCGCGGAATGGCACAATATAAAGCCGAGTGGCGGGGCGGAGGCAACCGGGGCCCGATGGGCTGTGAGGTTTCATGTTTGTGTATACAGTGAGTGCCCGGCATTGAGCTGCCGAAACTTAAAAGGGGTAGTGGCCACGTGTCCCTCCCAAAACAAGTTTCATGTTTTTCACCTAATGGGAAAGCACACGCCCAAGCACGACTTCTGGAAAAGCCCAAACTAAACCACGCTAGGTCCCAAACCCCGGCCTTAGGCAGAAACCGAGTGACGAAACGGCTTTGCGTATAAACACTGTCTTAGGTTCAACCCAGAGAGACCCAAAGAGGGTGCAGATCTTGGCCGAGTTGTCGCAGAGGCAGGAAGGGGCGCGCAAAACCCGCGGCCGGCCAAGAGTGTTGAGGAGCAACTCGCTGGGGCGGGACGAAATGGGGCGGGGCGAGCCGAGGGGCGGGCGCGCGCAGAGGGCGGGCGGGAGCGCGCGCGAGGGGAGGGGGCCGCGCAGGCGCCGTGCGAAGCTATCGAAGAATCAAGTCGGTAGAAGCGGAGCGACCGCGGCGGCGGCGGCAGCGGCGGTAGCAGCAGCAGCAGCAGCGAGGCGGCGGCGGCGCTAAGGCGGACTGTACGCTGCATAGCGGCGACGCCAGGAGCTGGGAGAGCGCGGCGGCGCGGCCCGCCCCGCGCGGCATGCCCAGCCGCTCGGGCTGAGCGCGCCTCGGCGGCCGGCCCCCGCCCCGCGGGCTCCCCGCCCCCCGGCCCGCGCCCGCGGCCAGTCTTCGCCCCGGTGTGGAGGCCCGCCGCGCCCCCGCCGGCCCTCGCGCCCCTCGCGCCCCGCGCGCGCCGCCTGCCCGCGGCTGCTGCCTCTGTGCGGGCTCTGCAGCTGCCGCCGGTCGGGGAGACGCGGGCTTGGGGCGCGCGGCGGGCGCGCGGGGTGCAGGCGGGGGGCGGCGGCGCCCCCCCCTCGCGCCCCTCGGGCGACATGGCGGCGGCCGTGGCGGTGGCGGCCGCGTCGCGGCGGCAGTCCTGCTACCTGTGTGACCTGCCCCGCATGCCCTGGGCCATGCTCTGGGACTTCACGGAGCCCGTGTGCCGCGGCTGCGTCAACTACGAGGGCGCTGACCGCGTGGAGCTGGTGATCGAGACAGCGCGGCAGTTGAAACGGGCGCACGGCTGCGTTCCCGAGGGCCGCTCCCCGCCCGGCGCTGCGCCTCCCGCCGCCGCCAAGCCGCCGCCGCTGTCGTCGGCCAAGGACCTGCTACTGCCCCCGCCGCCTGCACCCGAGGCCTCTCCGCGCGCGCCGCAGGCCCTCGAGCGTTTCCCGCGTCTGGGCGCCGATCTCACGGGCCGCGCACCCGCCAACGGGATCCTGGTGCCCAATGGCTTCTCCAAGCTGGAGGAGCCACCTGAGCTGAACCGGCAGAGCCCTACCGCGCGCCGCGCCCACGCCGTGCCGCCCACCCTCGTGCCGCTGGTGAACGGCTCGGCCGCTCCGCTGCCAGCCGCTCTCGGCCTGGGCGCCCGCGCCGCCGCGTTGGCCGCCACGCCGCCCGCCGCCGAACTGGGCGCGCACAAGCGACCAGCCTCCGTGTGCGGCAGTGCGCCCGCCGAACACGAGTCGCGCGACACGGCCAAGGAGAAGCCGCCGCCGCCAGCCGCGCACCGGGGCCCGGCCGATAGCCTGGCGAGCTCGGCCGGGGCTGCAGAGCTGGGCACCGAGGCTACCGGCAAAGGGCGCGGCGCACCCGCGGAGCAGGACTGGGTCAACAGGCCCAAGACCGTGCGTGACACGCTGCTGGCCTTGCACCAGCACGGCCACACGGGACCCTTCGAGAGCAAGTTCAAGAAGGAGCCGACCCTGACTGCAGGCAGGTTGTTGGGTTTCGAGGCCAGCGGGGCCAACGGGTCTAAAGCAGGTAGGGGCGGCTATGGAGCGAGCGAGGGGGGTGCCGACTGAGGGGCGAGGAACGGGTGCGAGGTGCTAGGGGGTGGTTCTGCCCTTGCCTGCCTAGAAACGGCAGACGCCCCACTTCCTGATGCGCCTGAGGCCAGGCGGAACCCGGGCTTGGTGGCAACGTGTTCCAGTGCTGAAGCAGCACAACCGGAATGAGTCAGAGCGGCTGAGAGGCCCTGACACGGGGCTTTCCTTTCCCAGCACATTCTTGGATGGGAGCACGAGGGCACTAGTCACCTTTTAACCTGTCTGTGACGGTAGCAAGTCACATGCTTGCAGCTCAGGCCAGGTTACAGGCATGCCTGTCCAAAAGTAGAGGCTGTTTTCTGAGGCTGTTTCCTTTTAAATTGGCATTTGGCCGCAGAGCCCCAAAGTGTGTTTGGAGCTGCATGCAGAACTTGGGGTGCAGTCCTGTGTGTGTGTTTCTGGAGAACAGACATTAACTAATAAGTTTTGATTCACATTAATAAGTCCCCTTCAGTGAGCCCTAGTTTATCACACCCCCCCCCTTTTTTTCCTTCCATTTCTTTGTTTTTCCAGTTGCAAGAACAGCAAGGAAAAGGAAGCCTTCTCCAGAACCAGAGGGTGAAGTCGGGCCTCCCAAGATCAATGGAGAGGCCCAGCCATGGCTGTCCACTTCCACAGAAGGGCTTAAGATCCCCATGACTCCTACATCCTCTTTTGTGTCTCCACCACCACCCACTGCCTCACCTCATTCCAACCGGACCACACCGCCTGAAGCGGCCCAGAATGGCCAGTCCCCCATGGCAGCCCTGATCTTAGTGGCAGACAATGCGGGGGGCAGTCATGCTTCGAAAGATGCCAACCAGGTTCACTCCACCACCAGGAGGAATAGCAGCAGTCCGCCCTCTCCGTCCGCTATGAACCAAAGAAGGCTCGGCCCTAGAGAGGTGGGGGGCCAGGGCCCCGGCAGCACCGGAGGACTGGAGCCCGTGCACCCAGCCAGCCTCCCAGACTCCTCCCTGGCCACCAGCGCCCCCCTGTGCTGCACCCTGTGTCATGAGCGGCTGGAGGACACCCACTTTGTGCAGTGCCCCTCCGTCCCTTCTCACAAGTTCTGCTTCCCTTGCTCCAGACAAAGCATCAAACAGCAGGGAGCTAGTGGAGAGGTCTATTGTCCCAGTGGGGAGAAATGCCCTCTGGTGGGCTCCAATGTCCCCTGGGCCTTTATGCAGGGGGAGATTGCAACCATCCTTGCTGGAGATGTGAAAGTGAAAAAGGAGAGAGACTCGTGACTTTTCCAGTTTCAGAAAAACCCAATGATTACCCTTATCCAAAACTGCTTGAATTGTATATATATCTCTCTATATATATATATATCCAAGACAAGGGAAATGTAGACTTCATAAACATGGCTGTATAATTTTGATTTTTTTTTTGAATACATTGTGTTTCTATATTTTTTGACGACAAAAGGTATGTACTTAAAAAAGCATTTTCTTCTTTTGTTAATGTTATTAGCATATCTTTGTGCTTTATTATTCTGGTGACAGTTACCGTTCTATGTAGGCTGTGACTTGGCTGCTTTTTTAGAGCACTTGGCAAATCAGAAATGCTTCTAGCTGTATTTGTATGCACTTATTTTAAAAAAAAAGCCAAATACATTTTCTGACATTGTAAGATTGCCTTACTGTCTGTTATTCCTTATTGCTGGCCCCTTTCAGAGGCTAGAGGCCAGTTGTTGGAGAAAGGGGTGCTATTGTCAAGTGGGAAATATCACCAAGTTTACCCCAAAATGTGTCTTGGAGGAGTAGGGAAGTATGTTTTAAATCTCTCTATTTTGTTCTTAAAGTTCAGTTCTTGGGACATGGACTGAGAGGTGCTGCTGAGAGATTTTCTGAATTGTTTGGTTTTGGGGGGAAGAGGGTCTTTTTTTTATTTTTATTTTTTTTTAAGACAAAGTTGACCGCTGTTCACTTCCCACGTGATCAGTTGTAAGATTACGATGCTGCATGCTAGTTGGTTACATAATACACAGTTCCAGCAATGGAGGCAGTTTCGAGGGGTGGTGATGTGTACAAGATGGCACTGCCATCTTGGAGTGGAGCCTGGCTCTGCAGCGCCCCTTCATCTCTCGGAACACCCCAGACCTCTGTTTGTTGTTGCTGTCTTTTCCTCTGAAGGAATGGCAAGAAAAGTTGCAGTCTAGGTGACCTTGGAGATTGTGAGACTGGTTTTGTTTCTGTTTTGTGTTGTGTTTTGTTTTTACCATTTACCTGTAGTGCTATTGCTGTTGATGCTATCACCTACACCCTGTTTCAGTGAGTGCTAAATACAGTATGGTACAATGACAGTAACAGCTGCGGGTGATGCCAGGGCTGCCTGTACCAGTGTATCAGTGACAGTCCAAGTGTGCGTGGAGGAAACCTGTAATTTCCTTCTTACATGTGTTTGAAATACCAAGTGAATAATACTGTTCTGGAAAAAAATGATTAGTGAAAAATTTTTAAATTAAGTGTTTTACCTACTAGGCAAGCCCCACCTAAAACTATTTTTAGAAACCTTTTGTAAACTTAATTTTTTTAATCACTATTGCTCATCAGTAAAATGATTTTTTTAACCATTAAATCATCAGTTGTTGGAAATAGTTGTCTCACAGTGATACTGGTTTTTCTTTTGTGCTGTTATGATTTAACATTGACAGGAACACTTAAATCTTATGTTCAGGTGTTTGTAACCTGGACTTGTAATTAGGCTGATTCATGGCTTCTAGGTCCACTGCACTGTATGTGTTCACAGCCTAGCTTTCATTTTAATCTGAAAAATACAGATTACTACCAACTTGGATTTCTTCTTTTAGTTATGTGTTTGTCTTTTTATTTTAATTGCTCAAAATATTTTCAGTGGTCAAGTTACTGAACACATGAAAATCAGATACTGCACCAAATACAGTATTTTTGTAGTGTTTTAAATGAGTGCACCTATTACCAGTGCTGTGCAAATTCATGTTACCAGTCATTGTTATATTACAAACAGACTTGCATGATTAACCAGTTTGTTGTTACACTTTTTTTTAATTGGAGTTATGTATGACTCAGATCAGACTGGTCTCTCTTGTGTGAACGCACACATGCAAAAAACAGTTTTACATGCCCATAAAGATATTTGTGAAGAATTCAGCTATTACAATCTGTTGTATAAATGTGTTTCTAGGCACTTTATTATGAACTGGAATTTGACTTCACAGATGTTACAACTTGATCAGTCATTTGACCTAATTTGTAGTGGCTATCTGTATGTTTTGCAATCTTAACACAGATAAGCTCTCCAAAAAGATTAATAAAGAACTAATGTGCTGTAGAGGAGAGGTCTATCCAGCTGTGGAAAAGACAACCTGTGGTTTTTCTGTGTTGGTGAAGAAGGGTGAATTTTGAACACTTTCAAAGGGTTGCATTATTGAAGTTCCTGCTATTAAAATATTAGGTCTGCATGAGTCTGACTGGCCCTTGGGTGGCCTTTGGGAAAGGCCTATAGTTGGATGCAGAGTGTGGATCTGGGTTCTTTTTCTGGCATTCTGTTAAGTTAAAAAGTTAACACTGGGATGTGGGTTTGATCCTTTGTTGGACCTGATGACAGTGCAGGGATTCTCCACAGCTGGATAGAAATGTCAGAAAGCTACTTACTGTACACGGGCAGTATCAGATTTCAGATCCTAATATTTCAGCTGTGCTTTTAATACTCAGAATATTAGGGGTTGGGGTGTTGAAGCTTTCCCTTTTTTGCTTTAACAATTTATAGAATTTAACAGATGTACTGTCTTTCATGTGGCCTCACATTTAAAGTTATGAGAACGTACACATGGTTTACAACTTTTACTATATACCTTTCCTTGGCCACCAAGTATTTTAAAAGTGTGCCACCTTTTAACCTTGACTTTTTTTTTTTAAGTTGAAGGTGATACTTTTTCTATATATGATGAAATTCATGTCAACTGAAGTAAGTGTAATCTTAGATATCAACATTATATTTTAAAATCACGCTATGGAAATATCACCTGCATTCTGTCATTTGTCAGATTTATAGTACCTTTTTTTCTTTTAACTTTTAGCATTAAATAAAAAATAAAATTGGGAGCACTGAACATTTTCTGAGGCCTTTTTTAATTTTTTTAAATAAGCTTAGGATGGCTTTGTGTTACCAATGACAGTGTGACTAAGGGGTGTGTGGCTCTGGGACTGGGGTTTGACCAGAGCTGCAGAACAACAGGAGATAAAAGATAATGGAACAAAAAGGCACTGATGGTTGAAAAAGAAGCGCTAGGGACTGTGGCTAGGGCAGCTGGATAAGGGACACAGATAAGAAAAGAGCTGATTGAAGTGTAGCTGGAAAGCACTTGTTTATTCGCAGTGAACAGTAGAGCCAGCCAATCTTCAGTAGTGATTTGGAAGGAGAAGATAGTGACGACATTGAAAAGACTGACCATCAAGACCTGGAGCTGCTCTGGAGAAAGCATTGGAATAAAACAGCCAAGTTGGGCCCTAGGATATGCACCAAAGACCAAAGGAAAATGGGTGGAGGTGGAGGGGATGTTATACTTGGGGAACAGAAGCTAGAGTTACAAGTGAGCTTTGTTGATATCCTGAAATCTAAATTTATAAACAGGTAAAATGTAGAAAGCACTGAGATGCATTTTAAAACTACTGTTTATCACATAGTAGTTTCCTGCGTGTTGCAGTTTTTACTCTAGATCAATGGCTTGGCACACTTCTCTGTGAAAGGAAGTTGTGAAACTTTGTAGAGTTTAAGATTAGGATATACACAAGTTCACCTGTTTTAAACAGCAACAGGGAATGTGTGGTCAAACACATTTTCTTTTGAAATGGTCCAGTAACTAAGGGGGCCTGGATCCACTATATTTATTTTAGTAATTTTTTTCATTGTTAGCCCACTTACTGTACTTTTCAAGAAACTACAGCAAGTTGTAAATTGTATGACACTATTGTTAATAAGTTAAAGATCGAGTATTAATCAGTTTTGTTCTCTAAAAATGCTAAATTTTATTTGTAGTATGCCTCACAGAAGTCACTTAAAATGTAAGAAAGCTGCTCCCAATGATAAACTTAAATGGTTACATCCAGTTTTCAGTTAAAAACAAACCAGACTCTTGATGTGGCAGATGTCTTTGTTTATTCCCCAAAGGGAGGGAAAAGTTAAAAGGAAAATCTGGAACCCTTTTTAGTAAGTCCCTTCTTACTCAGAGTTGCTTCACATGATTTATAGATAGTTTTATTCAGTTTAGTGAAGAGCAAACTGTTTGTCTTCCTGATTCCTAAGTGTGTACGTGGAAGCATTCAGAAAAATGTTTAGCTGTGTGTAGGCCACCAGAAACCCTGAGTCACTCTCATTTGCTTGCCTTTTGTTCATAGGACCAGTGTGAGGACACGCCTTTCCTTGGTCGCACACCAGAGCTGGATGTGCCACTGAATGGAGCACATACTTAACTACCCACTTCATCTCGTGGGGTTCTAGACATGGCAGTGGCAGGGGAGTTTAACCCTTTGTATTGGCAAGAACATGGGTGTAATTTGTAGGTTACCAGTTGTCTGCAGCCCTTTCTGTTCTGTGGACAGCTTGCCTCTTCCTCAATATTCTACCCAGAAATGTGAAAGGCACAAAGCTGGACACATAATTTATAAATGGTTAAGAGGCTGGAAGATAGAAAAATGACAGGGCTTATGAACTATCCTTGGATTTCTCTGTTAGGCCCCAGATAAGTTTGTAATTGGGATATTCATACTGCCCCTATCTAACATTAATTTATGAGGCTAGGGTTATAACACAATAGTAGAACATGTGCCTAACATGTGAGAGGCTATGGGTTTGATCTCCATCACAAGAAGAAAGAAAAGAAATAATCTAACAGTTAACTGTTTTGTTCCATTAGTTGGTACCTGCTCTCTCCTTAAGTCAGTATGATTTAGCCTGAAATGCTTGGTTCACAACAGTTTTGCTTTTTTAATTGAGTGTATTTCATTCTTTTAAAGATTACAGAATGTGAAACCTGTGTTTACACTGGTTTTGAGTTGCAGAATATTGTGTGCCTATGGCATAGGTAGTGCCGAGCACATAAAATGATTCATACAATCTGCAGAAAGGGTGTTTTAGGCCAAAAAGTAGCTTACCATCTGCAAATCATTATTTAAACTCATTAAGACACTTGTACCTTAAAACTGTTATTCTGAGTCTGAAAAACAATTAAGTAAAATTTCCTTATTGGAATAACCCTATTACACTGGTATAAACAGTTCCTGCTATTATACAATCTGAAATAGTTCTTTGAAAAAAATTGTAAACTGGCCCTTTACAATTCACACAGTGTTCAAAATCATAGCATAATGAGTCTTAAGTGCAAGTAAAATTTATCACAACATCAATGATGAAAAGCTTCTAGGAAATGTTTTCCTCGTAGGTCAGACAAGATCTTGAGCCTACAGGATTTCTGGTTTGAATTGAGAGCTTCAGTGCTCTGGTAGTTCTCCTTTGAATGGGCTTTGGAAGCCAGATTGCATAATCTGAGTATCCTCCTCCAGCAGCTCAGCAGAAGCTCTTGATGCCGAGATAAGACATCCTGTATAGGGTAATAATGTCACATTTGAATATTTCTAAATATAGTTTCCATGGGGAAAAATGAACTATGTTACATAATCTGTAGATCCCATCACTTAACCACTTTTGCTTAGCAATTAGTATTTCTAAGTATATCATCAACATCAGTTAATGAGGGGATGGAGATTGGGCATGACAGATAAATCAGGCTTTGCACTGCAGGCACCTAACAGCCTTAGATAAATATTCAGGTCATTGTAAATTTCTTTGCCATTTCGAAACTGTCTTTCTTTTGATAGTTCAGATGGGATATTTTGAACTGTATTGTGGCTATTTGCAGGGAAGCAGAGGGAGCACAAAACTGGAAACAGCCTTTCAAGCAGAGCTAAAAGTCTCAGTTTAATAATATATGGAACGAGTATAAAAAGTGAACTTCAAATTACTTGAGCTTTATGTTTTTTGTTTTTGTTTTTGTTTCCATAAGAGTTATGGAGATAGCAGATATTTCCTTTAAAACAAAGATGTCTGGGTTACAGTAAATCAGCACTTCTAAACACAGCTCAAGCCGGGACCTGCCACGTTCTCCAGCCTGCAACATTTAAGACTAGTGTAACTACAAAACAGGAAAAGGCTGCTGGGGCCTTTTACCAGGCCGAAACCTGTTACCCCCATTTTGTTATTTCTGCTGCAAACAGCAATTCAATTAGCCTTTTGGGTGGTAAAAAGGTAAAGATTTATTGTACCCCATATACAACTGAAATCAGAATTTCACAGGAGGTTACAGTCATTAGGGAAGTTTTGGAATACTGTTCTAATAGGCACCATATGGGTTGTAGCCCTTATTTAACACCTACAATCAGGCACCTCTTTCCAGGCTTTAAATGGAGGCAAGTCCAGGCCCCAGCTTGAGGTTACTGATGTCAAACCCACAGGTAGGAAGGCCAGTGTGCTTGGCTAAGGGTGCATAGCCACAAGTCAGCCACGTGTCACTTTTTTTCACGGAGTATGCAAAGCATCCTCGGGGCAAAAGAATCACTCTGAGAATTGAGTCTCTCCTTACCACTTCCATCAGCAACGCTGTAGGATTCTGACCTAGGAACACAGACCGAACCCCTCAAAGAGCTCTCGCACAATGGATGCGCCACACCCTGTGCTCACACTCTCTGCACACAAGCACCAGGACCCGTGGAAACATGGGGACCCTGTCAGCATGGTCAGATTGTAGCTTTCTCTTTTTCTTTTTTTAAACTCTGCATCGCTCAGACTTTTTAAAAAAAAAAAAAAAAAAAGGAAGGCGGCCTCCAGTTTGGGCAGATCCTGTTCCCAGGAGGGGAAGGAACCAGAGGAGGCGCCCGCAGCCACCACCGTCACCCACCCCCACCTCCCCTGCTCCCCACCCGCCGGTAAAGGCTTACTGGGAGCCCACAAATCGCCCTTCGCTGACACAAGGGCTCCGACTCGCGCCCAGGTTTTCCATTCCAGACTTTCACGCGGCCCCGAGCCGCGTGGTACCGGCGCGCGCTGGAAGCCGCGCGACCCCGCCTCGGACGCGGGAGACCGGGGGCGCAGCGAGCCCCCTCCCCACGCGCCCCGCGCCAGCTGCCGCGCTATAATTAGCGACCGCTGCCTGCCGGGGTGGCCGCCCAGCGGAGGAATGTGCGCGCGCGGGCCGCCGCCGCCGCGCGCTGCACCAAATAAAGTCAAAGGCCTGGCTCCCGCGGGCCGCGGCGGGGAGCGCGCCCTCGAGGCCCGGAAAAGATCACACGCGCGGCTGCAGCGCCGGGCCGCCGCCCGCCGGTCCCCGACGCGCGCCAGCCTGGCCCAGCTGAGTGTTTTTGCTAAGCTGGAGATGGCGCATGACAAGAGCTGCCCCAAATGGCACTCCTCTTTTGGAAATCATGATGCCGGTTCCACCGGCCCCCCCTCTCCTTAAGGTTGTAGCTATAATAAGCCAAATGTTCCATGCTGGTGGAGTAAACACGCATGTTAAGGGGCATCTGTCTTAGCAGAGGGCACTCGTGCACAGAGCTATGTTACCAAATGTATTTATGGAGCAAACCTCAGGACGTGCCCCTGTGGGAACTACCGAGTCAAAGGGCTGTGACAGCTGCACAAGAGGTGACTTTGTGTCAGGAAACTTATTTCCACTAAAAAGAAAGGCTTTTCTCTAATCATTGTACTCGTGGGTGCTTGAGGTACCACCAATTTCTAATTTGTATTAATTACTGAATTTAATTATTCTTCTGTAACAGAACCAGTATGACTAACAGGGCATCTTTGTGTTTCCTATGAGATTTGGTTTTGTTCCCTTTACCACCACCACACACACACACACACACACACACACACACACACAACCACCACTGAAGACTTGAACTCAAGAATTTTGCATTACGTCCTGGCCCCAAGGCCCATCTTTTCTTTTGTTTGTTTTCTTTTTCTTTTGCTGTTAGGTTTTTGTGTTTGTTTTGTTTGTTTGTTTGTTTGTTTGTTTTGAGACAGGGTCTAAGTTGCCTAAACGAGGCTCCAATTTGC